TACATATATATACATGTATACATACATACATACATATACATATATTTTTTGAATATAGAAATATATATATTTCTTGAATATATATATATTTCTATATTTCTATATATATATATATTTCTTAAAAATCGTCGATCGGAAAACCTAACCTAAACGTTTGAACCCTCTTTGGTATATGATGATATGTTAATTTCGATTATGTTGCGTATTATATTCAGTAAATATATACATATATACATATATAGATAGATATAATTTTACTAATAAAAATTCTTCAATAACTATCGGGATATTTACATTACGTATGTACGTGGTCTGTTGTGTGAAATATTCTCAATTGAACACGCGAAACCATAGATCGTGATTTTTACATGTTTTTACCAAGAAAATGGGAAAATTGTAATTCATATTAGAGTTGATGTTTGAATTTTCTTTTTTTTTTTTTTATACAAATCATTTTACATGGCATACGAATTTAAAGAAGAATTGTGCTATTTCGCAGTACAAATGCAGGACATGTGGTGGTTGAGTAAATATTATTTTGTGAATCTTTTGTAAAATTACGAAGTGTTTGAAGTTTCATTCGCAAACGTGTCACATGGGTCGGATAGTAATTAAAAAGAAAGCCGCAGTAACTACCGAAATATTCGATCAATGTAATTTGCACTACTATATCGTGTATAAAAAGAAAAAAAAAATGGAATATATGTACATAAATGAGACGGGAAAAATGGATCCTATCTTTGTGATCAGTTTGCTTTCTTCTAGATAACGAATCTCCACTTTTTGTCAGATAAATTCTTCCCCTGTGTACTGTACCGATTTGATTTGTGCCGATTGAAAGCAAAAGGCAAAGAGAATACAAAGTTTGTAAATACCTGACGTGATCGGTGTTATTTGACGCCCATTGTAAGATACGCACGAGCAAGTATTTTCTCAAAAATCACGTTTCTCTCTAAATCACGCGAGTGAGAATTAATCGAGAAAAGAAAGAAAATATCTGTGAGAAATTATGTCACGTTAAATTACATGATAAACATTCAAGGCCACCGATCTATCTATGCGCCCCACATAAGTTTATGTTCACAGAACATGCACTACAAACCACGAAGATAGTATCAAGTCACATAAAACTGTGCAGATATACACAGTGATTCCGAGAACCAGTGTTCGAGCTATGACTCTTTTTCCAAGTAAAAAGTTTCGAAATCAGGTAGGGAGGGTACATCTCTTTTCTTCGTGAAAGTTTCATTCGTTCAAGGAACAGTTAGCTCTCTTCGAGCTAGCGAGAAAAGCAGCAAACCTTGTTTTTTTTTTTTTTTTACAAAGAAGTTACACTTGGTCCACAATGGTAATTTAGTTTCAGGTTTTACCTAATGATGAAGTTTCTCGTCGTGCGACAAAACAAGAAGCGAACGTTGCAAAGCGAAGCAAAAACTTTAATGCTAAGGGATATATAGCTCATATTGATTACTTCGATACACGATCAATTATTCACCTATGTACCTACACGATCTTACTTGCCGCTGTATTACAGCATTGCATTTAGAAGTACAAGGTTAGAGATCTAAGGTCGTTCGATTGGATTAATTATCAAAGTTTCTTTTATCTTCGTCTGGCGGTTGTTAATTTTCATAAAGTCATTCGCTGCAAACAAACGGTCACATTTGTGGAGGATGATGCGATGCAGGATAAAGGATGTCTTCATTTGATGAAGAAGATTAAAGGAAGAATTGATTTTCTTTGTACAATTGGCAAATAAAAGATAGAAACGGAAGACCCATAAATAGAAGAAAAGATGACACTTAAATATCAGAAGAAGTTAGAAAAGAGAAAACATCAGAAGAGATTAGAATATCAGGTAAAGGAATACTACATAGTTCAAGTATATTTTATACAATTTCCTCCTGTACAGATTACAGCGTTAGACATCAATTACATCTTTTGCACGATCACAATTTGGAGAAATGAACAGGAATCTCTTAAATTATGTAAATTTTTTGTACCAGATCATCATTTGTACATCAAGTTGGTATGTCAATCAACCATATAGGACACGTTTGTCGCTTTCTACGGTAGTCAACGCGCTCGTTTAAAACACGTTGTATAAAAATGTGTAAAGTTCGGAAATAAGCAACTTTTCGGTGTGTCTCTTTCTTTCTCTATGATAACAATTTTCGTACAAATTTTGTATCGTAGCCATTTTAATTTTATAAATAGTTTACTGCGTTAGTGCGTTTTCTCCAATTCAAAATACGAACAAATGTACGTGACAATTTGCTACTTATAGAATTCTAACGAAAATATACAATCGAAAATAAAATGATACATAAATGCAGCATCATTGACAGAACTAAATTTCAAATTCATGCTTGGGCATGATTTGTGATTATTTATTTCTACGTTTGTATATAACTTATTGCATTTGCCTAGATGCATATTACAATATATATTTATACATATACTCTTAATTCATCATACATATATTTCTGTATTAAAATACAAGAAATACACATGAATTAACGAACTGAAATCAATCGAAAGCAGTCATCCAACAATATTTGGAAACATAAGTATTCTATCGATTGCTTCGTTCGGGTGAATTTAAAATCAATTTATGAGCGTAAAACGTATTACGTTTTGTTAATTGTATCTTAAATTCTTCTTAATTTATTGGTGAGAAATTGGTGTTTAATGTTCCCTCATATCCCATATGTACTTATTATACTGAGATGAAAAGAAGTCCCAGATATATGTACATGGAATTATCGTAACACAGTGTAATATAATCTCATTTGTATATATGACACTTTTGGCCAATAAATGTATTTACATATTGAATCTATTCGAACTTCTTCTTTCATAAGACTTCTTTTCATCTTGCTGTTATACTTCTTTTTCAGTATATACTGAAAAATTGCACATGTATAATTTTTTTTTTCTTTTTCATGTAAACTACGTTCTTTTTCACAGCCTTTTCGTGAAAATATAATTTAAAAGATAATTTCAATACATCATACTTCGCATATATGGTAGATATGCTTCTCTGATAGACTCTACCTTCAAGACGGAAAAAGAGTTTGCATTACTAAAAAATTAATATCTGTTTTTTTTTTTGTCTACATGCTAGAATATTATTCCAAAAATCTGAAACGAGCGTTTCTTAGATTTTTGCAATGTTTACATACAATTCAATACTTGTATATACAATATGAAAAGTGCCACGCACTAAATTGAAGAATTGTCACTCTTAAGTGCATTTTACTCTTTGTCACTGTTATATAAGAGTTTGAACTACATTTGTTTCCGAAGCATGATCATTAACGTTACTCTCACTGTGAATTACTTCACTCGTGCTACTATTATTATTGCAAACGCCGTCATCTTCCGATTCTTGACTGCATCTTATATTGTCGATCTTTAAATCTACCGAGCTCTCGGTTTGCGACTCATTGCTAACATCTGTATCATTCAACCCCAATTTCACATCCATGGAAGATTCGTTCCTAGATTTTGAGCTAGCACAAGAATTGTCGATGTTCGACAAAGATTTACATTCAGCATTCGAGTTGGAATCTATGCTGGATTGTAACGACTGTTCAAGCTTAGACGATTCGTTTTCATTTGTCTCTTTAGATCCGTTCAACTTTCTCGTCAATTCTGCCCAAGGATCTTCCAAAAAGGATTTCATATCAACGTAGGATGATATGTCAATCTGCCTGCGTGTGTCCTTTCGCTGAACCTAAATGAAAACATTCAATATTTTTGTTAATTAATTTGTTAATATAAACGGGGGGGACTGAATAAAACCTAATTAAGAAACGAAATTGCACTAGTTGGTTACCCTTTTCTGGCTGTAAAACTGCTTGCCAGAGAGCTTGTAAGGAGAGTATGAATTATTGAAATTTGACTTTGGGCTCGAATGATACTGGTTCCTGTAATGGTTAAACCCGCCACTACCTGAATTACGATGACTGCGGCACCCATACCCATTCCAATTATTACTGAACCTCTTGTGCTCTGGCAATGGAGTGCTGATATTCAACGGGATAAAGTCATTCCCGGAATGTCTCTGACTCGGTGAAGTTTTCGGGGTATGACACTGATAACCATCACTTTTGTCACGACTATAACCTGTCCTGTTTTTATAGTCGTGCGACTTCCAATTGTAGCTTTGTTTCTCCCTGCTACCACTCGGCGTGCTCAATGGAGATCTCTTCATTTTCAAACTATTCATACTACACTACTGTTTCACAGAATCCGCGAGTATTTACAAATAGTATTTCCTAGAAAACGATATATGTATTTACGCACTAAAACGACGCCATGCTATTTGCCCCAACAGCGAGGGGACGCTGAACGAGCGATCGATATATCGATAAAATAGCGCGCGCAAGAAGCATCGATTTATTGATAGTTTAAATTCAAAATTTAATACGCGAAATACATATGTAGTTCTAATTTCATGTAGTTCAACATTTCACTGTTTAGCGACTATTTAAAATATATTGTTGAAAAATATGCTACAAAAATAAATACATAAATTATCTTGATGTAACATAATGTAAGTTAACGTAGATTCTATCTGATTGTGAAAGATATTAATAACTAAACCATTAAATTTATTAAGCATTAAGTCTTTGTTGCATTCTATGTTCTTTTTTGCCATACTATCTAAGTCTGTCCCTATCGCACAGCAGTGTGCTCTTTATCTGTCATACAAGTTTTTGTCGTATTCTCTTTGTTTCGATCTATTGAACAGAAATTTTTAATTTTTATTTACACATTTTCTAGATCAAATGAAATTTAAGAAGAAAGCTTAGGATTTATAAAAGGAGATACAAACGAGAAAGTTCAGAAATTAGTCCTCTTAATTAGTTTTTTTCTTTTTTTGTAAATGAAAATTTTGCCACTCCTGAACACTAGCGCTACGCCATGGTGAAAGATGGAACTAAAATCTATCGCTTTCCTTGTTCATACACAACATTGCATCCTTGTTTATCAATAGTATTGAGATGTAAATGCAAATCTCAACTGCAAGTTCTGTTTAATACTTGCTTTTCTAATTAATTTTTAAATAAAATTTTTCCCATTTTTACCACTATTTGTTTTGTCCTTTTATTTTTTTTCAATAAACGTCGCCGCTGGTTCATTTGTTAAAAACAAACTGCGCGCCGCTTGTTAGTTCTTACTCCCTCCGATAGATGGCAGTGCATGTCTCGCTCGTAACTATGAAATAAAACAGTATGTGCAATGTACAAAGCAGCAATAAATTTTAGTTCTACCGTTTCACCGCTACGCGGTGCTAACATTTCAATGTCCGAGGTTAAACCTTTTTTATTTAATAATATTACAAGACTAATGTGAAAAAGCAACAAATATCGTTTATTTAATTTCACGTGTTCAAATATATTTGCCGCTATTTGTTTTTTTCTCTATTTTCTTGCGATGTGGAGGTTTTAAGTACATTACGAGAATTAACAAGAAACCACAACAACTACTGTTTATTTTAATTAATGTACAACGATGTTTGTGTCGACCTCTTGCTTTGCCTGATTTCTAACAACTGAAATTATACTTTCTGCTATTTGTCTTCTTTTTTCTTTATCTAGTCGACGCTGTTAAGCTTGAAGATTTTGAAAAATGCGCGCGCCGCGACAGCGATGGCAGTGCCGCCACCTGCGACGAGCAAGCCCGTCATGCTTGCCAACTGCGACCGACGGACGCTG